CCAAAAAAAAAAAAAAAGAGCTTATTGTGTGACCTAAATTTCAGGAAGGATAATGTTTTAAAAAAAAACTCATTTCTAATTCACCTACATCATCCACCTCACCACCGACACAACAGTGAATCAGCAGCAAACACACACAGAGCATGAAACAATTGGTTTTTAGGTCGAACCCCAACATCCCATTTCCTCTACACCATTTTAAAGTCCTCTTTTTTTGGGGGGGGGGGGGGTTGCTTTTCCTTTCATTCAAGGCTTTAGTTTGGAGTTTTCCTGGGCCTGACAAGACCAACGCATTCCAAGTGTTGTTGTACAAACAATTTTAAGGCTTGGACAAGACAGCTTATGATCCCCCCCCTCTTTCTCTCTCTCTCCCCCCCTCTCTCTCCCCTGAACACACAGCAGTCAAACAGGCGTTGTCGAACCGTCACCAAAACTTAGATGTCGTCCTTTCCCTTTCAGTAAACCCGCACATATCTATCAGCTTTGGAATAATCATTACTGAGAGTGAGGGCTTCAGATCCTGCCAGCCCTCAGGGGGGGACTGGGGTTGACTCCCAGTTCCTTGTTATTCGCAGGACTTCAGTGCAAGCCAAGGCTGCAATGTAGGGAGAAAGTAAATGAGGTAGACGCCTAAAATCTCTCTCCAACACAGCTCCCCTCTCTCCAGATTGTCCATTCATATTGCGTTAAAGGGTGGGAAAGTAAAGAGTATCCAGTATAATCTACATACCATATCATTCCTGTCCCCCTCCAGCTCCTGCGCACTCCTTTCTTCCTGTATCTGCTCCTCTGCGAGCCACAGCCGTGGAAAGACTTTAAAAAACAAGACAAAAACACTCTCCACAAGCACTCACATCAATTCTTTTTCCGCTTCCCTAGTAAACACGCCGCCTGGCCATCGCCTCCCACATTTAAGTGCTCGTTTTCGTCCGTCTAAAGTTTTCGGAAACGGGAGGCATAGCTGTTTTCTCTCCCACTATGCGAGGAAAAAAAACGAAGACAAATTGTGATCAAAAGAAAAGAAAAACGCAGCTCAAACTCCAGTCTTTCCACAGCCTGCTGGGTACGTCTTGCCAGGAGAAAAAAAAAGGGGGAGGCGTTTGAAAGCGCTGTTTCTGTGTGTTTTCCCCTTCTAGGTTCACCACCACGTTGTTTTGCCCAATTATTATTTCCTTTGTTGTGTCAAAAAAATAAAACAGTCCCGAAAAACAAACGCGATCCGGAGCCCTGCCTTCATTTACCAGAGTGCTGTTTGCAAAGTACGCCAGCGCGCTCCGACGCGTTGTGGCTCTCCTTTCTGATGTTAAGCCCCGTGCAGGAGAAATGTGTGTGACGTTGAGTAGAAGTCTATTTTTTTTTTCTGCTTCCCAATAATGGCGGACCTTCTCCCGAATCTAGCATCTCCCCCCTCCTATTCAGAGAAAGCGGAGAGAGTCTCGCCCAGTGGTTCAGGAACACAATTACAACAGGAGCGCGCCGTGCCTGATATATACTGCCCGACCAGGGGGGAACTTTCATCTACAGGATATAAGAGCAGTTTATCAGATAGGTTTTATTTTATTTATTTATTTGGGTCAGGGCGGTGTGTCTCATAAACATCTAAAAGATGATAAACACTGTTTTAAGAGGAGCAGTAAGATAGATAAATGAATAAATGGAAAAAAATATTTATACTGATCTTGTTGTGTGTGCCTTTACTATATATATATATATATATATATAGATGGATATTTAGATGGATGTATATCTGGATGTATATCTGGATGTATATCTGGATGTATAAATATATAAAACTATACATTATACAGGATATAATAGCAGTTTGTCAGATATGTTTATATGTTTGGTTTTTTGGTAGGGCGGGGTGTCTTATAAACATCTCTATATATATACATGTATATATATATGTACGTATTTATATATGAATATTTAGATGGATGTATATGTTGATGTATAAATATATAAAACTATACATTAAGGTTGGTGTATATTAGAAGTATATGGGTAACAAGCATGGGACCTATCCCAGAAAACACCAAGGTTCAAAAAGTCAGAGAGATCCCTGTCTTTACATTACAGTTACAGATATAATCTCAGACAACGTGTGGTTCAGTGTCTGGCCAATGGACTCTTTGACATGTGGGCCTTATTTAAACCACCAACCTTTTAATTGGCAGGTAACTGGCCCGTGCTGAACCGGACAAGTATTACAGCCTGACATCTGACTGGTTTAGAAGCCTTTCCTTTAAGTGTTAGCAATGGACATTTAAGAGACTGTTTTATCCAAACTAAGTGATAAGGAAAATTAAGATACCCATGAATTTTAGAATGTATCCAGGAACCTAATACAGATTTACCAAAAAAAACAATTAATTGCAGAGAATGTGTGAGATGGAAAGTAAAAATCAAATTATGGGAGAGATTCTGTTTGTCCTAAAGTAGACCTTTCAGTCTTTGCCCTCAGTGTAACTTTTACAGTTTTCTGTCAAAGGGACTGATTCATTAGTTCCTATTGTGTGAATTATGGATTATAAACACACATTTTTTCTACGTCTTTACAAGCGGCAGAGATTATCGTGTGAAGGGGAAGCTTGCAGAGGCAAGCAACAGAGTAGTTTTCCTGCAAGTTTCTGTTGTCCATCCTGTTGTGATTCATTTGAAGTTGTGATGTCAGTCCTCTAAAAGATTTGTATAACATTTGTAAAACATGTTGTAAAAGACCAAATAAATTAAGTAACACAGCGAACGCAGCTTTTGATGCTGCTAAAATCAGTAATGATGATAAAAAAGCCTGAATTCAGTCAAGAAAACTCTTAGCCTGACAGTTGTAATCAACATTTATACAAACAAATACAAACATCTCATGTGTGAGCATGAGAGCTTCTTTAACATGTTACGAAAAGGTTTTACCATTCCCACCATGAATGATACACACCCATTTATTACCCAGAAGAGCACCAAAAATCTCTGAATAACTGTCTTTGTGAGTAATGTTTAATTCAGTTATGCTTTGAAAATGGGGCTTTCTTTCTATTGCAGCAACCATCTCTAATGCTAAAAAAAAAGGGATTAACCAAATTAATTTTTAACCTCTTTGCCCTCTTGGCCCGGTGGGTCAAACACCACTTCCCTTCCTAAACATTTTTTTTCCATTTCCATGTACACATTCAAATATCAGTTGCCCTCTAACATATAAGTTTCATGGCAACGCGACATGTTATAGATTTTTTAAACAGCTAACAAGGACTCTGACCTAAAACCTTATTGAGCAACAAACAGGAGAAATATTTATTTTCCGTGAAAATCAATCATCTCAAAGGTTAGTCCTAATTATTTGTGTTGTGCCTGGAGTCATCCACTCAGTAAAAGTGAAGAGGTTTATTCTTTGATTAGTTCAGCCACTGAGTGATAAATAATTGAATCTTCCAAAGACGACAGTGGAGCTACACTTTAAAAAGAGGACGTCTGCAGTGTTAAATAGGGCCTGTGCTGAGAGCTCAAACTGATGTTTTATGTCTGGCTGAAATGTTTCTATCTCACCCTGTTATCACTTCCTTGAAGCACATAGAACATGCAATTCCAGTCCGTTAATCTGAATTTGATCAGAAAACAAATGCTTCATGTGGCTGCAGAGTTTATTATTTGGAAACTGGACTTGCTCCTTCTGGGATATTTCGGTAACTACACGTCTGAAACTTTCAAATGTTGTCAGAAATATTATCATCCTCTTAGAGTTCTGAAAAACAAATACCAAAACATGAGAAATGTTTATTTTTACAGGGAATTATTTCTACACGAGAAAGGAAATTGTCATTTATGGAGTGTGAGTCTGAAATGATGTGTCACTGAATAGCCAGCGGGGTTCAAGGTGCAGAGCTTGTCCTCTGAATATGTCCACACTGTTCTGTCCAATCACATTAGTCACTGTGTCCTCAGCAATATTTGCGTGACCCCAATCACACAAAGCAAGATTAGTAGGGGTCAAAGTTTCTACTGAATAATGTGCCTCTGTATTACACCTCTTTATACGTTCTAACATGGGCCAGGGTAACTGTAAAACATAAGGCTCCTTTAGCTATTAAATCAAGGTAGACAGTGCTATTCAAGCTATATCATTCTTACATAAACATTACCACAGAAGTTATGCTTTTATAACTCCAAGCACACCAATTTCAAAACACAGCTGTGAGCAGTATATGGAAGAAAAAGTCCCTTTGTTTACTCACTGACTGATTTCCCCTTTCATTTTATTCGTTTCCTATCCCACCTCAGTCCTTTCTGCATTTGCAGCTGAAATATTTCTGGGTCCCAAGGGCAAGCACATTCCTCCACTCACAGTTGTGCAATCCCTGACAATCACAGTTTCCCCCATCCCCCCTCTCTGACTCCCTAAACGCCCACAATGCTTCCAGACAAGCTGTCCAAACTCTGGGCAGTGTTCTGTGGTGAACTGGCTGCCCAGCCATGGCCGAGCCCTGACGCTGCAGAAATCAACCAAAAATAATGTCATTGGAAAACAGTGCAGTGGTTCATTAAACATTTTAATTGTGTGAAGTTTTATCCAAAATATTCTAGTGAATGTACTGGTAATTCACTGGTTTTCAAAGACAAGAAAAAACGGTCATTCGACGTTTGTTTGTTCATATAAGAAATCTTAAATCAACCAAATATGGGCTTCATTGTGATTCAATCATGAACCAGTATTAAACCATAGTAATTGTTAGAATATATTTTCTTTCACGTTGGTCACATAAGTTGCATTTTCTTTCATCTACGTTGGCATTATATATAAAAATGGTTTTGCTACAAGCATAATAAAAGTTTTTAAAAAGCACTTAACAGAGCAAAGGATGCCACACAACGGCCCCTCCGCCTCTCATGTGATGTACAGCGTAACTTCAGTAAGAGACGTGACATTGGAAAGATGGTTGTTGTAGTTTTAAAACACATTTCCCAACTTGGTCTTAATTGGGGAAAAAACACATTTCCCTGCATGCATTGCAACTTGGCGTAGCCCTCCACTTCCTGCTAGCTTAGAAAGATAGCGAACGAGCGGTTGAAAAAATACGGGTATATTCATGTAAAACTTCTGCATTATATCACAAGAACGTGCTTTCTGAGTTTCCAAGGACCCTGTTTAGGAGGCCAATATGGTAAATACGCCATTATTTAAGTGTTTTGTGTTTGCGTTTCCTGTCATCGTCTTGCCACTAATCTGCTAGCATTTGGGACCTCGACAGATAACCTCTTCATTCAGTCAGTAGAAAACGTTAGCTAGCTGGACTGAAGAGTTGAGCACAGGGTGTATACTACAAAGACTAATTACTGCTTTGTCAGATAAATCCTATGACGGTTAATCAGTCTATCTCAAGCTTTTTGCAATTGTGTTGTCATAGTAAGCTGGCTTGTATCAACATGTTACCCTTTATTTTAGCCAGGCTAACGCCTATAGTATTTAGCAGCAGTCACTTTTAGATGAACGCTGTCAGATATGAAGATATTACGACTATGGACATGATCTGGGATTTTTTTCCCTTTACATAGACAGCAGTGGACACACATACTTGATCAATCAATCAATCATTCATACATGCCACTAACTACACGAACAAGGACAGACGACTTTATTGGGTAATTTTTCTATGGTTTAACTGTTTACTTTCTGTCTCCATTTATTCAAAGATCCGCTTCATCCTCATCCAAAACCGAGCAGGAAAGACACGATTGGCCAAATGGTACATGCAGTTTGATGATGATGAAAAACAGAAGCTGATCGAGGAGGTGCATGCAGTGGTCACTGTCAGGGATGCCAAGCACACTAACTTTGTGGAGGTATGAGATTAGGCAGTTCTCTATGTGTGGTTAGTGTGTGTATCTGTGCCTTGTACTTTTTGCCCCGCATTTATTCAGTCTCCTGTGAATTGGTACACATTTTACTTTCCTCAGCTTCGCAAGGAAAGGTTAATTTTCAATGTTAACATTGGTCCTGGTCACTCAGGGTTCTGTGTGAATTTTCCCTGATTCATATGAAGGCCAGTGTTTGTGCCTGCCTAAACTGTACCCACCACAAATACTCCATATGTGCTGTTTTCTTGAAAACCAAACCCTTGGAGACTGGATAATATGGCTTTCGCTCTGTGACAAAAGTCCATTGCCTGTTTCAGTCATAATTCACTAATTTCCCACATGTTCTTAAAACCGCTTATATGGAAACTACTGATGTATACTGTCAGAAAATAAGAAAAATGTTTTCCGCTGATCATTTATAATCATTGTTATACAGGGATTGCTTAACCTTGAAGCCTGGGAGCTCCCACCCTTTTAGAGCTGCATTTGTTGACATAATACAAGAAACTCAGTCACTAAAAGGATTTATCTGTTGTGGTCTTACAGTTCAGAAACTTCAAGATCATTTACCGGCGTTACGCTGGTTTGTACTTCTGCATTTGTGTGGACGTGACTGATAATAACCTGGCATACCTCGAGGGAATCCACAACTTTGTAGAGGTAACGTATAGATGTAGTAAGTGAACTGAGATGATTTAGTTGTCACGGTCTGATGGTTTTCAGGAATGTCTCTAATGATTTTGTTTGGAATCCTTTTCTTACTTGTAACCTCTAAATATCAAATCTGCGTGATTCTTGAGGTAACCAATGTTTGCTCCCAATTGGCCTTTATGAGATGAAATAAACAGTTTTTTATTCAGTGCTCAACTTTAAAGGCGCTTACGAAAGACACACTATCGACAGTTATCAACACTAACTGGCTGATTTGGCATCTGATTCATCGCATCATGAAAGAGGAGATGAATCATTCTATGAATGAAAACTGAATGAATAAATAAATAAATTCATTAATTTGATAGCAGCTGGTTTGACATGACACAACATGAACACTTACAGGGAAGGAAACCTGTTCACAGAGGGAAAAAATTAAAAATCGATAATACTGGTGGCACTAATCCCAATTTATTTACTAAAGTCAGACCTTTTTCTTTTAGACTATTGTATTGAGTTAGAAATTCATAACAGATCAAATCCAGAAGTAAGGCTGTGAGACAGATTGTTTGTGTTTATATGTTGTAAAACAGTGTTTAAGTTACTAAAGATGGCATTGTCCTGATATTGTTTCATTCTTGGCTGTGGGTATAGTTTTTTCTTCCTTGTCAGAATGATGAATATTACATGTGGTATGCATTACATCCCACGTGTGATATTCACCCAATATGAGTTTAGTTTCTTCTGCCTCCACTTTGTTGAATCATGTTCGGGTCTGCAGTGGATTTCTTAAAGATTGCCGTGTGCGCCTGGAGGTTGAAAAGGCAAATTCCCAAAGAAACTTAAAGTAATTGCATTCTATCAATGAGAATGTCCCAGCCAATTTTTACTTTCGTTGGTATTAAAACAGATGATTAGGTGGGTGGCATAGAGATGTGCTTTGCATACTGACGATGTCTTTAACAAAACCCACCACCCTCCTCCTGCAATAATTTAACACACGTATTCCAAAACTGCTGAAGTTAGCAGCTATACCACCGTGTTCATCCTGCTATCTGTCAGAGAAAGACTGGTTTTTCCTCACCTTGAACATCAGAGGTACTGTAGAGTCTGAACCAAAATAAAGACGGTGTACATACGCAGTGTTTGCATTTAACAGTTTTACCAAACACTGTAAATTCTTGGTAAAGAAGTCATACTCGCACAGGAAGTCTCCCTCGAGGTCCTAATGGCTAGAAAACCCTTTAAAACGTATCTTTAACCTCAAGTTTTTGACCCCATAAGACAAGGACTGAGACACAAAAAACGTGACGCAGAAGTCCAGAAATGTGGAATCAAATTCTCCCCTCATGTTGCCAGATGTGTGCATCTGTCCTGGTACCATCGTATGTTGTAACTGTCCAGTCTGGGCTGCACGACGCACGCTGGTTCCCAGTGTGTGTCCTGCTCCTGTTAGAGGGCATTATTCGGCCGTCCTTGGACAGCTGGTTTGCTGAATGCAGAAGTTTGATTGAAATACTTTCTTCTCTTTCCTGGAAGGTGCTGAATGAGTATTTTCACAATGTGTGCGAATTGGACCTTGTGTTCAACTTCTACAAGGTATGGACATTCTGGTGTTTTTTTTTATTGCATGAATTTTCTTTTTAAGATTTTAAAGTTATTCTACTATTTCTGGCTGGATTTTTATCATCCTTAGAAAATAGTACCCACCTGCTGGTGGTCTAACAAAGCATTATTGACATTGGAAATTCTCTGAACAGAAAAGAAAAGAATTCATAAGCCATCTTACTCATTCTGTCATACATTCTCTGGTTAAATTTGACGTGTAATATGTTCACTGGTGGGCTTTTACTGATGACAACAAAAGAGACTTACTGTAAGTAATGTTCATGGGAGGCATGCAAGTTTGTTTTTTACAATACTTTAGTTTCAGTTACTTTGAAGTTACCTCAAGGAAACGATATCCATCATGGAAACTGTGACCGAAAAGCACCTTTTAAAGAATATGCAGTCATTTAAAGCACTGCCTGGTTTCAGCGCCCCTCTCTCCAGAGCCACAGGGTTTAGCCCTGAATCTTAAACCTCTTAGCTTCCCTTTATCACGCCTGTCCTCTGATCCTCTGGCTTTGTGTGTGTTTTTGAAGGTGTACACAGTAGTGGATGAGATGTTCCTCGCGGGAGAGATCAGGGAGACCAGCCAGACCAAGGTCCTTAAGCAGCTGCTCATGCTCCAGTCTCTTGAGTAAAAAAAAAGAGGAAAAAGGTGACATAATCTGTCCTTCCTGCCCACTTATCTGCTGCCCTGGCACCCAAACCAACTTCCTCCTTGTTTCTGTCCCCCTGGAAACGAACCTCATCGTTTTCCCGCTTCTACACAGCCCACGCTTCTCAGAACTTCAGCAGAGGAGGGTTTCTGAAAAGCGAAATACAAAATATTGTTTACAAATAGTTATTCGAGCTCAGTTATCCTGCTTGCCGTAGTTGTCTTCATGACATGAAACTCTGGACGTGTCTTACAGATGTCACCGGTGCATTTCACGCTGTGAGCATTTTACATAGTCCTCACGTTCCAGACAGCTTGATATTCTGTTTGATTTCCCCCGAGCCAGAGGCCGCAGAGGTCAGTTATTTCATGTAGTAACCAGTTCGTCATTGCATTTATCTCTATAATGTGTCTCTCATTACTCTTTGCATCTATTTAATAGCACTACTGTAACTACCAGGCACCATAAAGACAGACCTACAAAAGCTATGGACATTGGACACCCATGCTGCCATGTTCACAAAGTCCACCCAGACATGGAGTTGGTAGTATTATGGGAGTCTTCCCGACTAGTGTGCGTTCCCCTATGTGGGTTACGGTCCCAGCAAACCAGAAGCAGAGCGCCCACAGGAGCAATTGACCCATCACAGCTAGCTCATTAGAAACCGGATGAGTGTCATTATGACAACTTGTGCGGTGTCAAGCATCCTCACTGTGACGCTCACAGCTTAAGCTGTGCTGGATCAGATGGTTTGACTTTTTATCATCACATCTAATGGTGCCTGTTGGTCACGCTTAAAACACTTAGAAATATAAAGTCTATTTTACGTAAAGCACAAGTGTGTGCTTTCTATTGTGTGTACATACAGTGTATCTCGTGGCGAAATATTGTGAAATGAACAAGTCATAACAAAGTATTTGTTTAAAATCCATGCATTCCTTTGGCATCCCATCTAATAAGTTGCATTTGCCTAAAAATCATCTTTTAGTCTCGCCCTTCCACTGCACATAAATGTTTATGAAATTGTCATTCTCGATTTTAACAATATCCAGTCGCACAGATGGTTTCATATGAAGTTCAATTTTGTATTTTTTTGTTGTTGAGACAGTGGTGAAATATGTGCTGCGTCCCCTCTTCTCTGCCTGTGAGTGTAAGTGTCTCTAATTCAGATAACTCATCAGTATGTCCCATTTTGTGTAAATAAACTGATTAAGTGACCTGCCATGTTTCTCAGCATTCTCTTTTTTTTTTACTTTTACATTTAGGCTGTGTTTAAGGTGGGGTCAAAGAAATGAAGTATTTTAGCACCATCTAGTGGTGACATTGCAGTAAATACTAGAAAATGGTTCTGAGGTCATCCTGACAGCCTGTGTCGGATCGATAAATCAGTCAATTTATCCACTTCAGTTACATTAAACCACTCTAGACATTACTGTATCAAGCCAAGAACATAAATCCAGACAATTGGACACAGAGGGCATTTACCCTTCATCATAGAAGTCCTTTTGATATCCTAACCTCAACCTGACAGCCTTAGAATGAAACGACGACGGCGCAGGAGGGACATCAATCAGTTCTACATTTCCTATTGTTATTTCAGGAGCCATCGGGCCTGCTGCCTATACGGCCCATTTGTAACCTCTGCACTGGGGGAACATCTGGATCAGCAAACTTCAAAGCGGCTTCGTGAAAAAAAGGGGACACGCGCTAACTGAAAAACAAGCACTTTACTGGGAATTGCATTATCATCACAATCAATGAGCAACATTCATCCTCCATAAACAATAAACAAATCTTATTTACATTACCGCTTATTGGAGATGTACAGTGGTATTTATTTTTGGATTATATCACATAATTTACTAAGCAACAACTGAGAGGGATGACTCGATCCAAACCGGATTAAGTGGAGAACAGTAGGCTAGTATGGCTGTTTGGGTGGCTGCTCGCTCTGAACTACAATCCCTGCAAATGAAAGCCAGCCGACTCTGATTCCACAGCGTTCAACGGTTTACATTACTCGATGAGTGCGTATAAAAAGCCACCTGTGTGCGTGTGACCGGAGTTGCCGGCGAAAAACCGCCCACAACTCACACTGTCCACATCTGGAGTTTTGCACCATGACAACAACGTTGCCGTGTGGCAGCAGAAAAAAAAAAAAACATCGAAACAATCTCAGTTGTTATTTAGTAAGAAATAACATCTACAATTAAAATCTTTATTACAGTATACTCTTCAAGTAAAATAAAATGTACAATTCTATAGTTACAGCATATAAACAAAACAAAAACGACATTTCTTAAAGAAAAAGTGCACTTTCAGAAGACAGACTATCACACAATGCAGTTTTTTAAGCAACATGTTTGTCACCATCTGTCTCTTTGTATCCTGTGTCCTCTCATGTTTGTACACATGGCCATCTTTCCCCCCCGTCAGTGTGCTGACTCGCTGGGGTTTTAACATATGTTTTGGCTGGAGGAACGCATGCTAACACTCCGGGACGTGGACGTGAGGAGCAGGTTTGCTCTGCTCTGACCCGGGTCATGGCGACCTGCTGTCAGTGATCCACACAGAGGCGGGGCCTCGGCCGGAGGGACGGAGCTCTGTGAACGCGCTGACCAAGTGGTCGGCGTTTCAAGGGGAAGGGGAAGCCGCGCTTCGGCGGAATCTCCCTGGTTTTCTCTTTTTCGTGGCCTGAACGTGGGAGGGAACATCTGGGGGTCGGCTCAATGGAGTCGGGGAGAGTTTGAGGCGCAGTCCAGAGAGAAGTTACTAACTCCAAAGCTACCAAACCTGATCGTGAGGCTAGCGAAGAGCGCGCGCGACCTGCCATGATCCAACCTGAGTTGGGGAACTGGGGAACCGAGTGGGTGAACAGAAAGCTGTGGTTTCCTGTGACGTCCTTTGTAAAGCATGGAGAGCAGCATGAGTCACAGGGATGTCATGGAGAGCCAAAAGCCAAACATAAGGAGTTTAACACGATGTCTTTCAGAAGAAGCCTAGTTTTCCGCTGCGTTTGTCATGGATCTAAACGATGTAAATCCAGTTAAAAGCTCATTCTTCAAACTTTGGAACCTTTGGATAACAGAGGGATTTAGTTTTCTTTGTGCTTCTGACATGACATGCCCGAGTGGGTGTAGAGAGGAGTGACTGGGCCATTCCTTCCCTTTTGATAATTTAGATCAATTTAAGGAATAATATTATAAATTTAAAATATCAAGTGTGTAACCACCTCTCATACATAACATTATAACGTGCATGTGTAACGCAGACCAGAAATTCTCAAAATAAGACTTAATGACTTGCAAGTTTTCTAAACTGAATTGACCTAAAACCACTGCTGAGCGGCTTTGAATTCAGATCAAATCTGAAGAACAGAAAACAAAAACAGGATTTTCTTTAAGGACACGCATCTGGTAGTTACTTAACCAAAAATCTGCCCAAGCTTTTATGAGTGCACCCAAAGAGTGTGCATCATGTATTCACCCTCAAAGATAGGTTTTATACAAATCATATTGGGGGATGCTGATGTATCAGACGGCTTTATGATAAATCTACAAACAAAGATGTGCAAATGCGGGAAGCATCGGGGGTTTGTAAAACCAGAGTGATAAAACAACAGCTGTAGGTGAGCCTGTACAAACGCCCCCATGACGTGTTTGCTAAGTAACGGACGGGGTCGTCTCTTTTGCAGGGTTCCGTCGGGTCGCGCTGTGGGGGGGGCGGCCTGTCCGGATGCAGGGGCCCAGCCGCCCCCCCCCCTCAGGAGATGCTTACCAGAGGCCGGGGGTCAGGGGTTTGCGGCGACCCGGGGTGGTCTAAGGTGTGTGAGACGGCAGGGAGAAGGGGGGGTCGCACACACCGCAAAACACCTGGAGCTGGAGGAGAGAAATGCAGAGTCAGCACGCGTCTGAAGGCTCCGCCCCCCTTCCCTCCGCGGCCCGAGGTTCCGGGGCCGGCCGCTGACCTGTGGGGGTGGTCTGGTCCGTGTGGGCTTGCGGGCGGAGGCGGGGGCGGCCCCCGTCACTAGCAGTTGCACGGCTGCTTGCTGGGCGTGGCCGTTCCTCTGGGTGTCCGCAGCTGCCTCAGGGACGCGTCTCCGTACTGGATCCCCGAGCCCATTCTCTCTGGGTCCAGCTCGCCTTGAAAGTGGACCGCAAACCGGACACGTCAGGAACGCAGACAACACGGCCGACACATATCTTTGGAACAAACCGAGCGTACCTGAATCTATCTTGTTGAGGATGGTGCGGGCGCATTTCAGGAAACCCTCCTCCACGTTTTCCCCCGTCAGGGCGCTCGTCTCCAGAAACATCAGCTCTGTGAGGGTCAGAGCAGACAGGGCAGGAAGTCTGAGTGAGGAGCGACTGGACAGAAAGAGAGATCACGGCCGTCCTGACCGGAAGGCCGACGGACTTGACGATATTTACCGTTCTCCTGGGCGAAGCGCGAGGCCTCCAGGAAGGTCACCTCTCTGTCTGCGTCCAGGTCTTTCTTGTTGCCGCACAGGATGATGACGATGTTGGGGCTCGCTAGCGTCCGCGCGTCCGTCAGCCAGTTGGTCAGGGCGTTGTACGTCTCCCGGCTACGAGACAAAAAGCGGTCAGGAAAAACCACAGCCTCTCAAACGTAGCGGGAGAAAAACGCTTCCTGGATAGGTCCCCGCAAGCTTTGGAAGGGGAGGTTCTTTTGAGGCCATGGAGACAGCGCGCTGGTGTCCATGGTAACGTGAGGTCAGTGAGGTGAGAAGCAGGGTGTGGGCCTGAACGGTGATGTCTAACAGCTGCTCTGAGAGGGAGAGGCTGATGTAACTCCGGGTCCAGGACTGGAGGGATGAGGCCACTCGGCTGCAATCTGCTTCCCGAGCTCTGTCATTCCCTCCAGAATTTCAATGCTCCCTTTCTCACTCCTCCTCTCTCTTTTTTTTGTTGTCTGTCTCCCATGACTGTGATGCATTTACCCCTCCATCTCCCTGGTTTTCACCTCAGGTGACGTTTTTTTTCATGCCACCGGACGCTTCGGCATTGTTTTACAGCGAATGCAACTCGGATTCTTCCAGTCACAGACTGCACAAAGTCCTGCTCTCTCAGCTATACTCCATCCACTCCATCTTGATTTCACAACCCAGAAATTGCGAAATATAAACCTCTAAATGGCTTCTGGTATTCATATCTGCCGGTATCAGCTCGAGCGTTCAGTCGGTAAATTGCACGGCGTACGGAGGCGCCGCGTGTGCGCTCTAACCCCGTCTAGGGTTACTCACAGAAATAAGCAAGCCAGGCGCTTGTGAAAATGAAGAAAGCTTGCAGTTTCGCTTTGTGCGTTTTGAAATTTCTATTTAAAACGCAGCCAGATGAAATCCAAACACGAACAAAAAAAGACCAAAAACAAAAAAATCACAGGGAAGGGCGTCCAGTCAAATCATCGGGTATGTTTTTAGCTTTAACGGACAAAAGTGAAGCTACCAAACATTTCTTGACAGACATAACTCACACACAAAAGGAGGCGGCATGCTGATGCTTTACCTGGTGATATCATAGACGAGAAGCGCCCCGGCTGCTCCTCTGTAGTAGCTGCGCGTCACAGACCTGCAGAGACACATTCACAAGGTAAACTGCAAAAAAATAAATGAATAAACAAAACAAAAACTGCTCCAGAGTGTTCTCATCAGCCGGACTCTCCGGTCACGCTGGAGGGGTTCTTCTTGGCTCTCCACGAGGGGCTGGATAAATCACGGCAGCTCAAACATTGGCAGGAAAAGCTGAAAGGCTGTTACCGGAATCGCTCCTGCCCGGCCGTGTCCCAGATCTGCAGTTTGACCGTCTTCCCGCCGACGTTGACCACCCTGGAACCGAACTCCACGCCAATGGTGTGATTGGAATCCTGTTTAACTACAAAAAAAGAGATTTAGAAAAGAAAAAAAAGCTCCAAAAAGACAGACTCCAAATCATGTTTAATCCGTTGCATAATTATGATCTGAGCTCTGACACAAAAGAGGCAAAACTTTCGGCTGCTCCCACAGCCTTACCCCTGATCTCCACTGTGTTAGCCCTCATGTTCAAACACCTCTCATCCCCATCAGAGACTAAAGAGGGCTCAGATGGAATTAAGACTGATGACCTGCCCTCCTTGTCTCTCATTAATGACGGCACAGAGACCCGACGAGTCTTAATCAAATTAACACCAGCGTCCGCGTGGCCGGGAGAGCTTTGATGCTTTTCTGCACTTGTTCCGGAGCTAAATTAGAAAATGTGAACCGAGAGTAGCGAAAGGCAAAAGCTGGATTGGGTATCAGCTATGAGCCATTTTCAGAGCTGTATGGACGGCTTGTTCTCTGCACACGGTTCGTACAAAGTGGGATGAAACGCATATTAACGCTGAATTACAAGTTAATAAGATGATATTTCAGGCTGTCCACAGACTCCTGGTCTTCAGTTACGCTGACACAGTCGGGAAACAGACTTTACTAAACTGCACTACAGAAAAGTCTCCTTTTCGTTAAATATTTAAAACTGCACTGATTTCTGGGCGGAGCCTAGGCCAGAGAACTGTGGCGTTGTGCTACGTTTGGCTGGCTTAATAATTACCTGGCCTTACTGTCGGGCCTCTGGATGAGAAAACACTACATCACAGCATTACGGTTTCCTTCCACACACCAGTGAGCCCATGACTAATGGGTCTTTTCCATTACGGCCTGCTCAGCGTGGCTCTGCTCGGATCGTGTTGTTTTTTTATTTACAGCAGATGATGTCCAGACAGGGACGGGCTGAACAGGCCCGTGACGTCTTAAGTGTGTGTCACCAGCAGCAGACGACGGGGAAAAACATGGCGTTGGACATTTTACAACGCTAGTGATCAGAGAAATAATTCAATCCGACATTCCCCCCGTTCTTCATGTAGGCAGAGCTGTTGTGAAGGACTTGCTCTCATGACTCAAAAGGGTCATGTGATGCCCTGGCCAATCAGCGGCTGACAGTCTGCCATCGACCTGACTGAGTAGGTACCGGAGGAAAAGCTCCATTAGCCCTCTGAAGAGGAACTTTATCAAGAGCCCTCCGTTTAAGTGTTTTCCAGAGACAGCGCATGACGACGGGCTGCGCTGGCTGAGTAAACACCGTGACTTAGTGGACTCTGGGTAACCGTGCGGTTAGGAATTCAATCACCTGCGAGCGCTCACACTTACACTTGTTCTCAATGAACTGGTGGAGGAGGCAGGATTTCCCCGTCCCCGCGCTGCCAATCACCAGGAACTTAAACAGGAAGTCTGCAAGCAGATGAAAGAGGGTAGAACTCGATGCAACACCGACATCAGAGACAGACCTGCCGCTCTTTGCACTTTCATCCTTCCGAGACAATCCTCAGACTTACTCTTAAGCCTATTAAGCCACTTGTTTCTCCGCATCCAGCAAACTCAAATTAGCCCACTAATCACAAAGTTAAGCATGTAATCACTACTGCCGCACTACTTATGATTCTAATTGTACGCCTGTCTGTCTGAGGTGGAAAATTAAGCCTCGAGTGATCCGGCAGCAGTTATTAACCCGTCGTTAGAGCAAAGCAGCATCTTCAGTTATCAAACCCTGCTAAGGGGAGCAGGCATGCATATAGAGATAGAATGACCAAAGCCAGCTGGTCGTACAGATGTTGTTTTTGTTGTTGAGAGAGGCTCTTGCTGTGCGGAACATAACCCAGCCTAAACATATGCTCCAGATTGGCTCGGGCGTGCGAAGCCTTCTAGGATACAGACAGCCTTTGTGAGCCGTGGTCACTGATAACGCGGCGCGGCATTTTCATGTGCACGCCGTTCTGACAAGCTCCAGGAGATGTGAGAGAAGGGACTGAGGATGTGAGCGAGAGCTATGAGGGCAGGCTTTTACGCTGCCCTCTCAGTCATTCTCTATCGGGAAATAGTTTAATCTTATGAGAGTTTTCCGTGACTGAACAAAGGAAGAGAAAAAAATGAAAGTGGTAAAAAGGACAGAGAACAAATCATGACAAATTCAAAAACAGTGAGGTTTGGGTTCTTAACTTCAGTGGAGCGTCTGCAGAAAGCAGACCCTGCCCAGGACGGGGGGGTGGATTTGTGACCGATACCAGCGGCCAGGAGAAGATGCACACCAGGTCAACAGAAAGAGAGGGACACATTTGTTCTGTGTGACACTTCCGCTTATTGTGCCAGGGCTCTTAGAGCCTCCCTTCATGGGCTTCCACGCCACCACCACCATTACGTTTATGAAGCGCCACCGTTTGTTGTGGTGGCTGTTTTCTTTAGCAACACGAGCTGGAGGTCAAATTCACGGTTAATGAATTGGCGCAGGCACTTAGAGTTTCCCTCTGCAGCGGCGGCCGCTGTTACATCTCCAGCAGACATTGTCAGTGGCTCTGACAGCAGAAGCGGAAGCTAACGGCTCTCTTTTAAAAGCTTGCCTCAGCTCTTTAGAACCTTCCCAGGCATCAAATATTCTCCTGTGAGATCTGCATGCAACCATCAAGCTGTCAATATGTCAAAACGATGGGGAAAGTGCAATGCAGCGTTGCCCTTTCAACAGCAGCCTCTAAGGCTATTGTCTTCTTCATGCATCAATAGTAAATTTCCCCACAGGGAACAAAGTAACAGCGTAATCCACCTTCACCCTGTCACAATGCTTAAAGCATAAGCTATCTAAAAAAGTTAAAAAGTGTAAGACATACACTAGTACAATTCTAGTATCATAATATTCTGCCTGCAGTTTAGAATAAACAATTAGGTTTCGTTTGGTTTTGTTAATTGAAGCATAAAATGAGCCTTTGGCTCATTTTTGCTTTAACATGCATTTAATATGAATACACGCAGGAAAGAAAAACACTGCAATTATGCAAAACAACTCTACTCTCCTTTCCTTTTAGAAACCACAATTTTAATGGGAAACTTTTAGAAAAAAATGACAAAAATGTAATCTCATCTGTAATTATCATGTGCTTATTGTCTTGTAGTCAATTCCACAATTGATCCTCCACAGAAGATGGCGTGGGAGACTGAGATGGAAATCAATACAAGGCTATTACAGCTACCATTAGCGCTGGCAAGTTTCCATTTCTGCTGCCCACATGGATAAAGTTTCATACAAGAGTTGAGGCAGAGATAGAGTACAAGTACACACAGATGGTGAGTGTGTCTCAGGGTGCAACAGGAGAGGATGACAGAGGGGCCATCTCAAAACATCTGGCTCCGTGGTGTCAAGCTGCACATTCTTTGGGCCTATCCAGTCCTTAAAAATAAAGTAATCCAGTAATCACAAAACCAATCTTAGGCACTATGGCTGTTACAGACATGTTGTCAACGCTCACAAAAGGGTTTAACCATGTCTTCTGCCTGCTAGAGTTGGCAAGTTAGCTTTCTTCATAAAAACTATAGGGAAGTTACTTTGATTGATGAGGGAAATGGATATATAGGAGCAGTCTGGTGGCTGCTGCTCCACAGGTAACTGAGACCTGAGAACCGCAGCATTCACACTTCCTCTTTTGGGCCTTCTGGCTAAATGATGACTCTCACTTAAGTACCAGCACTTAAAGTTAAATCAAATGAAAGTGATGTAAGCTCGAAACGTTTTCCACTCGGCTTGAACTTCAACCAATTCGGAACACCGAAGCATCTGCAAGCAACCCTATTTGAAAGCCAGAATGGCAAATCTTTCATTTTGTAAGAAGTTTATACAACTTTCACTTCTAACATTTCACTATCTCTTACTTACGTTACTGATCGGTTAAGAGAGCAATGCAATCCGCCATTGTGGAGCTAACCTGTTAATGGACCAAACCCTCTAAGCAGACCGTTCTGTCCACTGACAGCCTCCAAAGTCAATTATCCCAATTAAAATCAACAAACACCATTGAGTGACACGTTAGCTAGCGGCTAATGATAGAGAACGCTAACTAGCGACGTTGCTAAAAGCAAGTCTGTCACATCAAACCACTGTGTATGGAATATGTAACAGCTAGCAAACGTTCAAATAAAGACTGTCCCAGACAAACATACCGTATGTCTCAGACATGTTGACCCTCGCTGTGTGAAGGACCCTTTTATGGTTCTTTTGGTATTGGGACAGCTGTGTGTTCGATGGGTTCACACCTCTCAGGGGGTATTTATCTACGATGCTAGCGGCTCCTTGATCCCTTCCTGGCAGCCTTTGCCCGTACACATCTAAACACGGCAGTTACGTGCTACGTCATCAGTGTATCAGTAGTGTGGCGTTCAAGTATCATTAGGCACCTTGGACATTTGACTGACGAAGCAGAAAATCGCCGTGAGATCTACGTAGAAAGTTCTAGAAATTGAACTGGACTTGAGTTACACATGAATATATTTATTTGATTTGTTCTTTTAAAGCCACGTGACTTAGAAAATCAGCTGAGAGAACATAAAAAGCAACTGATATATAAATGTCCGATATCACCGAGTGTCTTGAAACCAATGGATGTGTGAGTGTAATAGCAAGCCACAAGGTGGCACATCAGGGCAATGTAACTGGACAACACAACACTTGTGGATTGAGCAAACAAACTAAGCTTAAACTTCAGAACTTTTTATGCTGTGCTGCATTTATTTTTCATAGTTTAAAAAAAAAAAGTTTTCTAAACTATAATCTATTGTGTCATTCTCTCTTAGACTTTTGCTTTGGGGACTGATGTGTGCTCCGCTTGAATTGACCACAAGTTGACCCCAAAAAATATGTACATAAATATGTAGAATTCTGCCTTTGGTAAAAGGAGACATGTATACGTGTGCTGTGTCTTTGGCAGGCAAAAAAACAGCTTTTACCTCAAAATAACTACAATGTTTTTAATGGTTTATGAGGAATGAGGAATATCTTTGCCCTTGTTGCTCCCTTATTCATTCATCATCCCCCATACCTGCAGATATACATTCACACACACACAAGCTGACAAAGAGACCAGAGCCCAGGGTAAAGGGTCGCCCCAAAGGCAACAGGTGATAAATTACAGAGCCTTCCACTCTGCTACTATCCTTCACAGTTCCTCCCTGCCTTTGTTCTCCTTTGGCAGATCCACTCATCCTCCCCAGTGTTGTTAAAAGCTCTTTTCACTAAGATTAAAGACAGAGGGAAGCACAAGGCTCAGCGTCGTGTGGGGGCACGGATGTTTTCCTAAGGTGGGCTACAAGAAAAGCTGGCCGCAAAGGTGTACAGCATGCAGGCGGAAAGAGAAAAAAGAAGGGTTTTACTTCCGTTAGGTGTTTCCTTTCTGAGTGTCTCTGTGTTTATTGTGTCTTTGTCTCCTTTGTCCCCCCTTTATTTGTGCTCTTGTCTTTTGCTAGTGTTTTCATCAGAGAAGAAATTTGACATTTATGTCTATCTGCTGGGGTGGACTTTTCACTCACTAACATTTGAGAATAACAAAGAGGAATGCCGGGCTTATTTGCTTTTAGTGGGAAAGAAAAGTGTCACAGGGAAGTGACACAGGGACAGAAAACAGCATGTCAGATCTTGCGCAAACTGTTTCTGTTCATGATCAAAAGGGATGTGTTTATGATGAGCATATTAGCGAACCCCCACAAAACTATACAGCATTTACAATGTTTACAGCAAACATCTGAGTATCCAGCTCATTGTTTGAGTGACTCATTTCCTTGTAAAGGTGCTCTCTATGGTTGGATGGCATAGCTGAAAAAAAGGTCATATAATGAGTAACCGTCTATACTGTAACACATAAGGAACACAGGCTGTTTTATGTACAGAATCAAAGGCATGATGTCTATGAGGTAAGGTCTATTAAGACACAACGGGGAGTGAACTGATGAAGCGTGTGGATGTATTTATGAGCTAAAACACGTGCAAGAAACCAGACAGGATTCATTTCTACCAAGAGACTTCACCAGAAGAGGCCCCGAGACTGCAAAGCTCCAACTTTGAGAAATCTGTCGAAAACTGCTCAAACAGACAGTTCTGTTTGTTGAATTGAAAAACAAACAGCACATTTCAGATTCAGACGGAGGGGGTGTATTTATGTGCCGACCAACTCTGCACAGTAGTGCTTGTGCAACTATTTGTTTGCACATGACTTCAGTTTCTACCCATGTCACACTGCTTCATTTTGCACTGCCAAAGTAAGTAAACCTCCATTAAGTTGCTTCTCAAGACACCAAAAGTATTGATCTGGTCTCTCACATGGAGGCTCCCAAATAAAAAGCCATGGAGCTTTTATCGTCTCCTTTGTCTTCCAGTTTTCAAGAAAGATCTCCGTCCATCCATTTTCTCTACCCGTTTATTCCTAGTAGGGTTGTGGTTGGGCCGGAACATTTCCCAGCTGTCACTGGGTGAGAGGTAAGGTACGTCCTGGACAGCTTAAAGAAAGATGT